AAACTAAATATTTAACTTGTAAGTTTAGTAAACTAAACATTTAGCTTGTAAATTAAATATTTAGCATGGAGCTAAATGTTTAGTTTACAAACTAAATATTTAACTTGTAAGTTTAGCAAACTAAATATTTAGCTTGTGAACTAGATATTTAGCTTGTAAATTAAATATTTAGCTTGTAAATTAAAGAGTTAGTTTGGAACTATGATATTTATAAATGTATGAATAACATGGTGAAAATATGTCTTTGAAAAAAAAATTGTTATGAAAAGCTAAATAAACCAAAATATTGCTGTTAATTTTTGACTGTGTAACTATAAACTACACCCCATAACAGCATAGCATAAATCTGGATAGAAAAGGCCTATTATGCATGAAAGTTGGTCTATTTTTAACATCTAACTTTAATTTATGTACATTTGATTGATGTTTTAAGGAAAAAAAGTGGTGACCATACTTTTTGCATCGGTAGTAAAACAAATATTAGCTTTTAAACCTTATAATAAGTTGGTAAATGGTTACCTCTTTGGTCATCCTTTTCTACAAATGTTTATACCCAGTATGTGAATGTGTGATGTTCGGCAAATGTTTCGTCCCTTGGCCTTGAAAAGATAAAACATTTTCAGATGAACCTAAATTCACCACAGAATGATGGAAGCCTGCAGGTGATGGAACCAGTGGGAGGTTTAAAAAGTTACTGAGTTTTGAAAACTAAGATGGTGACCCAAACACCACAGACCAAATAATCAACAGCCCATTCTAGTCAACCCCCACACAACTCCTTGGTTCGTTTCAGCTCACCCTTCCCCCAAACCCTTTTCTTTCCACGACCTTTGCTCTTTCTTCATTACACTGGGTCAAAGGGTCGAAGCCTCCTGAGATGCCTGTTTTCTTTAGTTCCCTCTCAGCTGAAGTCCATGATGCAACTCCTTCATTCCCATCCCCTTCATGCACCCTCAGCCAACCCATTACTCTGAACGTAAGTCTTTCAGTGACCCAGCACGGCCTGCGGTGCTGAAACATTTCAAACCACAATCCAGGACTTACGTCTCCTACTTAGTGCTTCGTTTATAACTGTCTGAATGTTTCTAAATCATTCTCTCTTTCCAGATCCGTTTTTCTTTCCTACGTTTTTCGGCACGCAACATTTTCTGCAATTTTTGTGCCACTTCAACAGTTCATATATCAAAACGTTCGGCTTATTCAGGACATTCCTGATATGAATTATGGTATTTGTGCAATTCTTACTTTTTGAAATATTTCTCTTTTTCAGCCACGTGTCTAAATTGAAGCTCATACTGTTCAAAAGTAACCTTGAGACAGTTGCATGCTTTCATAACATCCAGGTTCGATTACTGCACTTCTTTTTGGAAACAGTCAGACCTCCATTGCATGTTTACAACTGGTCCAAAATGCTCCAGCCCAATTTTTAACTGGTAAAGGCAAAAGAGAGCACTTTTGGGGCGTGGTGGTGAAGAGGTTAGAGAAGGTGGACCTGTGATGGCAAGATCGCCGGTTCAACTCCCGGTACTGACAACATCAAAATGTGGGTGGGATTGGTGAAGCACCCACACCTGCTTCCACCCTCATTTTCCCCATTCTGGGCCCTTGAGCCCATCATCTGCTCCCCCGGGTAACAGCTCTCTGCTCCACACTGAGGGCTGTGGTAGGCATCAGGAAGGGCATCCGGCATAAAACATAATTGCCATGTCTTTGTGCGACAGTTTGCTGTAGTGACCACTAAAGAAGGGAGCAGCCGAAAGAAGGAGAAAAAAAAAAAAAAACTGGCAAAAGAGAGCACATTATTCCACTTCTGGCCTCACTGCACTGCATAGCTCCCGGTTAAATTTAGAATTAATTTTACAATACTTCTGCATGTTTTTAAATCTCTGAACAGTTCTGCCCCCTCCTACTGTATGTCACTGATCTGCTGCAGCCATATGTCCTACAGCGCTCTCTGAGGTCAGACCAGATGCTTCTTTTGATTCCAGGAAACTGTCTTAAGCTCAGAGGTGACAGGGCCTTCTCTGTTGCAGGTCCAGGACTTTGGAATGAGTTACCACTACATGTCAGGCAGGCTCCCTCCATCACTGTTTTTAAGTCTCGTTTAAAAAAACTAATTTTTATTCCCGGGCTTTTGACACTGTGCGAGTTGATTTTAACGTGTCTGTATTCTATGTTAGTCATTTAGTTCTTATCTTCATCTATTATGATCTATGTATTTTATCCTGTGTAATGAGAGACGCGTGAGATGGATTTAGCTCAGGGGTGCTCTCTTACATTTTATAATATCTGGACTAATTCAAGTACATAATATTATACTTAATTTAAACGGATTCTTTCATTTTTCTGGACTGAGTAATATCGTGCCTAGAAGATTAAATGTGGACAAAGACGTGTTTAAATTTCTGACCCACCAACAACAGTGAGGTCTTTTATTTATCAAAACGATTTAAACACATCACACATTTTACACATTGATTGGCATAATTGATTACAATAACACAGCTTAATTAATTAGCTTTACAATGAGAAATCATACGGCCATGATTCCTCACTTGCAGCTTGAAACAACAGACATATCCTTAGATCTTAAATTAATGTCTGCAGG